TGGAACAAAATTGTGTACACAGGGTCCCAATTACATCCAACAAAAGTATAAAATGTAAAAGAAAAACAGTAATACGATCTAAGATATTAACTAAGAAAAATGTTTAACTAAAAATATGCTAAGCACTAGTAGTACAAAAACATTATGCCGAACAGCAGCACCAACATGAGTCTGTGTGAGCAGATCAGTACGAATAAACACAGCAGCATGAAATGTCACCCTGCTCCCGTTATTCATGTAAGTTTTGCTGCCACGTCAGCCTTGGTTTGGTTTTTGATCATTGGTTAATAAATTAGAAATTCCCTTTTTTATCTTGTTGTTTTTCTGCACAATGGGTTCAACAAACCACAGAACATGATAGTGAGGTTGTGGTAAATGTGATGTCATTTACTGAAACACAATGGTTCATGATGTCTATATGAACTTTGAAATAATGCAGTTAAGAAATAGTTCAATAAAACGGAAACGTAAGTTGTGACACTGTTGCTTAATGAGATCTTATTTATACACTGCTGTTTCATGATTATGCGGCATTTATGAAGTGATGGAGGAAGAAGGGTGACACTTTCTCCTCTACTTCACTACACATGTTTATTTATGTTGCACGTGTTAAAGCGGGGCACCAGCTGGTCAGTTTATTGACCAGCAACATCTTAATTAATATATTCACCCTTTAATAATCAGAACTCATGAAGTAGAATCCGTTAATTACAGGGAACCATAACAAATGAATATTCGTCTACATGAACAGACCAAAGTTGGCTAAAATGTTATTACAAAAATAATCAAACTAAGAATCAACAATAATAATAAACAAAATAAGTGATAAAGGATAATAATTTGTAGAAATAACTGGTTATAAAAGTAGTAAGTCTATAATGAACATTCTAAACAATAATTAATCAGTTAAGGATTAATTTTTTTTTTAATCTAAGGCTAAATTAACTCTGAGCAGGAATTATTTTGGTTTTTATAAGAGCACAAATTTAGACAAAGTTTGACTATTTTAATAAATAGTTTGCTTTGGATTTTGGCTAAAAGAAGTTCCTTAATGTGACCTGGTAGTCATTTATTATCACTGCAAGCCAGGAAATGATTTATCAAGTTGCATCAGCTAAAATTTGCATAACCAAACCCAAAGTTACATCTATGTCACCAGGTTCTGCTCCTTACTGGGTCAGTTTGAGGGCACCAGTTCACTCATCATTCTGGAGGTCTGCTGGTGGATCAGACCATCGACACCATGAGGAGGACTCACCAGGCACTGCCCAGGTAGCAGGAGTCAGTGACTCCTTCAGGGGCTGGTGAGGACGACAGCCGATGAGAAGGTGCGTGTGGTCCATCACAACCTTCGGCAGGCTTTGACTTCAAGCGGAGAACGTGTCTTTCAGTTAGAAAAATGCTTCATCTTCTGTAGTTACTTAAAACTTCCATGTTCTAACAAAATTGTAATTGAGCAACATGTTTATTTGCTCAGGAATAAACGAGGAGTGGACCTTGGATGACCACATCATGATCGTGGGCCATAGACGAACTGCTTGTCACACAAAGGAACTTTTTGTAAACCAACAGCTTTCAGAAGTGTTTCGGCTCCTTACAAACCTTTTTCTCAACCACTTTGGCCTTGGTTGTCCTCAGGCTGTTTCTGTGAGTAGCCAGTTGGCCACCTGGCCTAAAACATTTGATTGCTGTACAGTACTTCCTGTTTATTAGACATGTTCCTGTTTTTAGTATTTTACTCCGTTTCATAATGTAGCTTGTTTTTATTTTGTTTTATATCACTACTTTTATTTTCATTTTATATGCCTTTTATGAAGGTTTATTGCTGTGTGTACCTCATATGTGTGTTTTTTTGTTTTCCTGTGTAAAACAGGTCTCTCTTGTAAATGAGTCCTCGTGACTCAACAAGACTAACCTGTATAAATAAAGGTTGAATAAATATTACTTGTTAGAAAGCCCACATTGTTTATGTGTAGTTGTCTTGTTTACTGAGCTAAGTTCTGTTTATGCTCTTAAATGTTTCGATGCTTGTGAACGCACCACTCTGTGTGTAAAAATTATGTGCTGCGTGGATTTGATTTTTATTTTTTCTCTCCTGACAGACAGAACTTTGTGCTTGAGCATTTTCCTACATTTTCTAGGTTTACTGCTGTGTGTATTGCCAGAAGAAACACAGCAAATAAATGAACCCTAAACTGGATATCTGTCTCTGTGTTCTTTAATGGGAGTACAACTTCATACCTTGTGACTCTAAACCAGTTAATTTCCTGGAGAACACCAAACCTCACCTTTTTATCACTGCTTTTTCATTCAGATGCTCATGAGGTCGACCGCAGGGCTTTATCCTAATTTTACACTTTTCCAGACTCCGTTTAGATTTTGGAAATGGAACACTAAACTGGATTAGGGCCTTCTAAATGCTCAGGCTGTCTGAATTACATGTTGTCCAATGACAACTTTTAACCATGTTTCTGATGATTTTTCAATAAAGCCCTCTGACCACAAAGCATCCATTTCACTTCGAGACAAATTGATATCTTTGGTCATTTGCTGACAAGCCTACTAGATTGATTGACAGGTGGCATTGAGAATAAAACTCCTGCAACTTTTTTTTTTTTTTAATCAAAGATTTTACTGGCCTGTTTAAGACTGTCCTCATTTATTTCATATTTATTCCAATATTCCAAATTTATACTAAAATGGCCACTGTTGCAAGGTGTTCCAGGAGCTAAGAAAGGCATTGTTGCCCTGTTCAGTCGGCACTAAGGGAACACTGCAGGTAATGAAGTTCTGAGAGTGATGCTGTAACTGTCCTGACATACATACATGCATACACACACACATACATATAAACTGTTTTGGATATACATGCATAAACAGTTTTTTTGGAGTTAGCACTGAATATAGTAGAGGTG